TCTTCATTGCTTACATCAACTCATTTTTTACTGTACGGACATGGTCTTCTCAATATTTCCTTAGGCAGCTATCGTGTGTTTACCTTAAATTTGACTAAATCATCAATATGATCTATAATTCTTAAACGAGTTCACACTGGTTTTTGTTCTCGATATATATCTGGATAACAACATGATCAATGTACTTAATAAATAAATGTTGTACTAGGAATGAATTTAAATTATCATTAATTAAATAATATTCACGCATCATTTTAATTACTAAACCTTTGAATATGAATAAGCCAAATTATGTTTATTTTTAAGATATATATATTGAAAGCTTCACTAGATGGTCTGATGATAAAAAGAGTAAATCAGAGTCTAACATAATCTCCCAAGTTTGAGTCTCCTTAATGATAAAAGAGTAAGAGGAGAATCTAACATGATCTACCGAGTTCGAGTCTCTATGACCCCTGATATAGGGGTTGCCACTAAAGTTTTTATCCGGTCGGTAGTTCTAGGTTCTTGGAGGATTAGAAGTTCAAGTCCCATGGCCTCTAATATAGGGGTGGCCTTTGAAGCTTCTTACCCGGTCAATAGTTTCAAGGTTCCAGGGTCTCGAGGAATTAGTTGAGGTGTGCGCAACCTGGCCAGGACATCCTCGGTCTTTAAAAAAAAAAAAAAAAAAAAACATTGTCTAAAAATACACTAAAACACCACAAGTTGATTTATAATTTGACTCAAATAATCGAGGTTCATCTTAAGAATAGAAAGCAAGAAATTGTGTTAGAGTTGGTGAACTCTATTTAACATTTAGGTACCTATTTTTAAAGATGCAGCAGGATGATTTACCAAGTTGTGTTAACGCAGTTAGGTTTACAACAAATCAATAATAATCAAGTTGTAAATGTAAAGCACACCAGCATATACATGATTCGGCTAAATCCACATTTAGCCTACATCCATTTTTAGCCTATATCCATGGGACCTCTTCCAGATCGAAAAAAATCCACTAATCAATAAACATTACAAGATATAGTTCAAAGTTGATTTTAGCTATAGCAAAGAGAACTCCCTGTTCTAGTTACACTTAACACCACCCTTTGAATCTTTAATGTCTTGTTGCACCACGGATCTCTTCACACCAGGTTCACTCCTGGAAAATGCTTCAGCTCCACCTAGGCTTCAGCTGCTGAAGACACGCTCTAGCATCAGCAAAGGAACCACGTTCCAACTGCCATTCAATAATGAGGGTAAACAAGAAAGCTTTTGGCACAAACCCATATACAAGAACCTAACCAAGAACAACTCTTTGAAAAGTTCAGAGCACCAATGAAATAGATATTCAGGTTCAAAAAGAAAAACAAACAAGGAAGAAGATGAACTTCCTTTTAGCTCAACAAAGATGAAGGATGATAAGTGTTGGGCACAATAACATATGGGGAATCTTTAAGGAATAAACTTTCTGAAAGTTTCAGAGCACAAAGCTAAAACAAACATAAAGGTTAGCCAAACAAAGTCAAAGAATGGAGAAGATAAACCCAAATTCATGCACTCCAATTCTGGCCAAGTCAGCAGACAAAGGCTGACATGTGTTGGTCCAAAAATATAAATGTTTTCAGCTTTAGTTTAGGACCACAACCAAAAGAGGAAAAAGGCTGATTTTCCCTAGACCAGTAAAGGATATTGAGACACCTGTAAGTGGTCCAAATGATAGCACAAAAGATGCAAAAGAAAATATCTTAGCTGTTAAGGATAAAAACGCAACTTATAAAAAATGAGCCAGACATGCGAACAACAATGTAAAATGCGAAATGAAACATGCATATAACTAACATAAGTGTGCAAGCACACAGCCACTTTGAACATACATAAAATGAAAATGTAAAAGGCATAAGCCTGACATAGCTGAACACGTGGAGGACAAAAAGAATTCCAATTTTTTGTTGGAATACAAACATATCTTTTCTCTTTCTTACAGGACCACAAACAAAGTGTTACAACATTTTAAGACCACTTAAGGAAATTGTGACACATGTAAAGGTAGGTAACACGAGAATATCATGAATCAAAATAAGCTTGATAGACAAGACAACAAAGAGAAAATGCCACTTGGCAAAATGTGTCACCATAACATAAGTTTGACAAAAATATCAACAAATTGGATTAATACTATAATTAAACACATCTTTTAAATTAATTGGTTGAATAATTAATGCATTGTTGTTCTTGATGTGGAATTCTACTAATTAATGATTAATAGGATGAATTGAAACATTGTGGCCTGATGCTTATCACAATTGACATTAACAAACAAAGATTTAGATAAGCTTAAAAAATTTAACATTTACAATTGCAAAGAATTTATTTATTTATTTTTGTTTATTTTCTTTACGAAAGTGAAAATCACTGCATGTAGACGCAGTACATAACTTAAGTAATTAAGAAATTGATCCTTCAGATGAGTCTAATTAAGAAATTGATCCTTCAGGTTTAATTAACCTGATGTTTATTTTTTTAATTATAGTTTCTTTTAGCTTAAAAGATGTATTTGTTTATTGTTTTTAATTTAGAATCTATACCAATCTTGTGGTGTTAATAGGGATGGTTATTGAAACTCTTACTCAACCAATAGTTTTAGGATCTTGAAGAATTAATTAAATCTTACATAAACTAGTATGAACATCGTCATTTAAAGAAAAAAAAAAATTTTGTCTATTCTACTCAGGAATTCAGAATATTCAAAAGTTAGCGGTCATCAACATGCTTGTTAAAGGGAAAAATTCATTAACCACCCCAAACTATATCATTTTCGTTACCCCCATAAGTTTCAAAAAGTATTCAAACACCTCCTACCCTAACACCATCAAACCTAGAGTTAACAATATGTACTAAATCAGTGTAAAAGACTATTTTATCCCTAATTTGTTATTGAATATAGAACCATTGAAGTCGTACAAAAATTAAAAATTAAAAGTTTAAAAAAAAAAATCCACCTAACGCCACCTCACTTGCTACCTACAGCCCTCGCAACCCAGCTGATCAACTGCCACCCACAATGCACTTCTCCGCAAGGTGGTGATGCAGTAATGTATTTTCTTGCATCAGAAGCTAGGGTGTTAGTTGACTATTTATAAATTCTTGTGGGGTACTTTAATTCAGAGAAATATAATTTCCCATTTCCTCCTTAACCTTATTTTAGCAAAGTTTGATATCAGCTAACTACCAAGTTTGAAAATGGGGTGATGTTGAATGTTTCCGAAAATGAGGGGTAAATTGTAATTTTTGTGATGCCTTGGGTTTAAAAGTAATTCGCCTATCCTAGAAAAACGATTTTCTTTGCCTTCTCTTACAATGCTACTTTCAACAACTGAGACAGAGCTACTGTCACTCTAGTGCCTGAAACACAGAAAACTCATGAACCCTTCTTCAACACCTCCATTAAACCCTGAGCCTATCCCTAATTTAACCCCAATTTCAAACCCACCTGATCTCTCAACAACGCTCTCCCCTCTCAAAACCCTCATCTCTCTCTCTCACCAAGCCCTTCAAAATTCCAATTTTCCCCCTTCAAAGTCCCAAAATGAGTACTTTCTCCCCTGCCCTTACAACCCCCACCATCTCATGCCGCCTGAGTCCCTCTTCCGCAACTGAAGTGATCACTTTTAATTTAGTAATCTTTGAGTGAACTAACCCACAATGTGTAAATGCCAAAAAACAAAAAAACAAAAAAAAAAATTTCCTGAATATTTGTTAATTGAGAGAGATTTATAGAAATTTTGTTGAAACATGGTTATCATCATTTAATTTAGTTAAAATTTAACGAATGAATTGATGTCATTGTTCACAAATTTCCAATAAAATTCAAAGTCCTAGTCAACTGAGATATCCTTAGATATATATATTTAAGAAAAGGGGTTAGTACGTTTAATCAAGATTAAATTTTAGTCGACGGTCATTTCTGGTCATCCTATATAGTTAATTTCTCTCAATAAATAAATTAAGATAAAAATTTTACCTAATTTTTGTCGCTTTTTGGAGTGTGTTCTTCTCCTTTCTCCTAAATATGTAATAACACTAAAATTAAGGACTACTGAGAGTTTTAGCATAATATCACATGCCATATATTTGATTTTACTGAGAAATTTTTCTCTAATACAAAAAAGCAACAAAAAAAAAAAAATTTCGTTGATCAAGTTATTACATAACCAAAAAAAAATAAAAATAAAAAAGCAACGTGGGTTTAGATTCACTTAACAAGCCTTTTAAGATAATTCTACTTAATCTTGCTCTTATTTAAGGTAATTCAACATTTAAATCAAGCATGCTTAAAATATGTGTTGTAAACTGATCCTAACTACTCAAATCAACACATCAATCATACATCAAATCAAGCAAGAATAAGAAATCACACAACACACAATCTACTGTGGTTCGCTTGTTCAATATATAAAAAGTTACATCCACGTTAAGCTCCAGAATATGGAGCTCGCTGCACTATGATTAATCACTTCCAAACATACAGATTACAAACAACTCTCCCTCTCTGTCAACTACACAATCACACACTCATCCACTTCTCTTTATCCCACAAATCTCAACAACCACTAGAGTACCCTATACCCTTTAAGGAACACCCAGCCCTCAAAATAAGACTCTAGATAGATTCACACAGAGAAGAACCAGAATGAATATCAAACCCTAACCCAGGTTACAATCGCATTTATAGAGAAAAGTATGAAAAACCTAATACGTGAACTGTTCCCAAATGCGTGAAAAGGTTCCCTTTTATACCGTTGACCACTGATTGAGCTGGAGCTGTTGGATCCTCTTTAATTTGATGGCTGTGATTTAAATTGGACTAATAGGCAAAAACAATAACGTTTTTACTTGGCTTAAATGACATCGTAGACTTCAATATTTAACAATCTCCACCTTGAAGTCTGTGGATGTCTTTCCAGCAATGTTCTCTTGTTGTGCAGCAAGCATTTCCATATTCCTTCTTGGCTCTAATTTAGTTATTCCACATGCAATAAGTTCAAGCAATGCTTGAACTTTGCAAGTGTTACAACCTTGGTTCCCATGTCTGCAGGGTTGTTTTCAGTTGGGATTTTCATCAATTTCACCCCTCCTTTTGAGATCATATCCCTCACAAAATGATACCGAACATCTACATGTTTGGTCCTCTCATGGTACACGGGATTCTTTACTAAATGAATAGCACTCTGACTGCCTGAATAGACAGTCACAGTTCCATCCAGTAGCTTGGCCTCTTTCAGGAACCCTTGAAGCCATATTACTTCTTTGAATGCATCGGTTATAGCCACATATTCTGCTTCAGTTGTAGACAGTGCTACCAGTGGCTGTAATTGGGAACAATTACCTCCTAAGGTAAAATGGTATGTTGTTGTAGACTTCCGAGAGTCTCTATCACCTGCAAAATCCGAGTCTACATACCCAACTAGATCAAGCGAGGAGTTTCTTTTACAGAAATTTAAACCAACATGCACAGTGCTTTTAATGTATCTAAGAAGCCATTTTAAAGCATTCCAATGTTCACATCCAGGATTTGACATAAACCTACTTAATAGTGATATTGAGTATGATAAATCAGGTCTTGTACTAATCATGGAATACATAATAGAGCCAATAGCATTTGCATAGGGTATGGATTCCATTTTTAATCTTTCAGATTCTGTTTTTGGGCTTTACTAAGGATGAAATGGCTAGCTAGTGGCATTGAGGCATATTTAGAGTTATTCATTCCAAATCTAAACACTAGTTTCTGCAGATAGGACATCTGGTGGAGTTTTAGACTGCAAGTTTTTCAGTTTCTTTCTATTAGCATTCCTAATATTTTCTTTGCACAGCCTAAATCCTTTATTTCAAATTCAGCATGTAATTTTCCCTTCAACTCATCAATATGTGCCTTGAACTTACTAATTAAAAGCATGTCATCAACGTATAGTAACAGATATACAGGATTTGTATCCACAAGCGCAAAATAAAAACAGTTATCATGCTCACTTCTAGTAAAGCCTATCCCTCCTATGAATGAGTCAAACCTCTTGTACCATTGCCTAGGTGATTGTTTGAGTCAATACAATGATTTATGCAGTAGACATGCATGATTAGGGAACTGTTTATCCTTAAATCCCATGGGCTGACGCATATATTTCTGTTCTTCTAATTCCCCATGCAAAAATGCAGTTTTTACATCTAACTTCTCTAACTCTAAATCATGATGAGCTACTAGAGATAACATCAACCTTATAGTTTTGAATTTAACAACAGGGGGAAAAATTCAGTGAAGTCTATACCTGCCCTCTGAGTGTAGCCTTTGGCCACTAATCTGGCCTTATACCTTGGTGGGTTAGTTTTGTTGATGCCCTCCTTCAGCTTGTATAACCACTTGCATTCCACTGGCTTTGTGTCTTTGGGTTTTGGAACCAGAGTCCAAGTCTTGTTCTGCCTTAGAGAGTCTCATTCATGGCAGTGAGCCATTTTTTACTATCCTTTGATTTTATGGCATCTTCATAGGACTCAGGCTCTGTCCTTTGTATCTCTACACCAGCAAGTAGTGTTGTGTAGATAAGGTCAGCATAGCTGAACCTTAGAGGCGGTCTTATCTCCCTCCTTGTTCTATCCCTAGCAAGTTGGTATTGGGCCAGGTCCTCTTGTTGGGCATTCTCATTGTTCTCCTCATTCTCATCTTTACCATCATGTTTAGTGTCAATGGTAGTATGCACTGGTTCAAATTCTGGTCCATCAGTGTTGATTTCAGGTTCCTGTTGGTTGGTTGACTACACCTCAAATTGAGTACTTTCGATCTGCCATGGATTCTCCACTTGGTGGCTTGAGGTACCTGCATTAGTGTTAGTAACCCTACAATGAAACACACACTCATTAAATACAACATCTCTACTGATAATGACCTTAATCCTTGAAGCCTCTCTCTCCCACAGCCTATATCCCTTTGTCCCTTCTTGATATCCTAAAAATACACATCTTAGGGACCTTGGTTCTAATTCCCATCTGTGGTATGTGCATAAGCAGCACATCCAAATACTCTTAAATGGTTAATAGGTGGTTTTCTTTCTGACCATCTTTCTTCAGGACATATGAAACCAGTTGCACTAGAGGGAGTCCTATTTACTAAATAGGTAGCAGTGGTTAAAGCCTACCCCCAAAAGGACTTAGGTAGCCCAGCAGTGAATAGAAGGCACTTGACCTTCTCTAACATTATCCTATTCATCCTCTCAGTAATTCCACTTTGCTGAGGTGTCCTCCTAACTGTCCTATGTCTCACAATTCCCTGGTCTCTATAGTATGTATCAAACTCAGTGTTACGGAACTCCAACCCATTGTCAGTTATGAGTGCTTTCACGTTTTTCTCCAGTTGGTTTTCTACTAAAGTCTTCCAACCCTTAAACTTACTTAGTGCCTCATCCTTGGATCTAAGTAGGTAAATCCACACCTTCCTACTGAAATCATCCACTATAGCTAGAAAATAACTATTCCCCCCATGTGTTTTGTTTCTTTCAGGACCCCAAAGGCCAGCATGAAGGTATTCCAAACAACCCACAAACAGGTGAGTTCCTTTTGGGAAACTCAGCCTGTGTTGTTTGCCTATGACACAAGTTTCACAAAAACCTAAGTTTGACACATTGTCATTACCAAAGACCCCTGCTGTTTGAGATAGCTCATACTAGTTTGGCCTATATGGCCCATCCTCAGGTGCCATTTTTCTACAGTTGAAATGTTAGTAGATATAAAAGCAGAGTTAACATTCAATTGATGATATTGCCCACACAATATGTACAAACCATTCCTTTTAACAACTTCAAATAGAATTTGATTATTTTTGTAGATAGTAATGCAGCCATTTTGAGCCCTATAGCTACAACCAGCTTCATCTACTGTGCCTAATGATATCAGGTTATGCTTAAGCTCTGGTATATACCTTACTTTGGTTAACATTATGAGTTTGCCACTTTTAAGTCTAATGGTGATATTACCAACACCTTGGACCCTACATGAGTGATTGTTGCCCATAAACACAGTTTTAGGTTCACCATTTGTTAGATTCTGAAACCAGGTTTTGTTAGGACTCATATGGAAAGAACACCCTAAGTCTAGTACCCATTCATTAGCAATTTCAGAACTAGACACAGTAAGGGCTTTAATAATTTCAATGCTATTACTAGAGGATGCTATGTTGCTTTCAATACTGGTCTATTTTTGCTTTCTAATCCAATCATAACAATTCTTTTTTATGTGTCCAGGTTTGCTGTAGCGAAAGCACTTTCTTGTCTCTGATCTAGGTTTATTATTGTAGGCTTTCCCTTTCTTCCTATTGTTTGGCCCTAAGTTTTGTTGAACAGTTTTTCCAGTCTCTTTACCGAAGTGTCTAGTTTCTTGTTTGCCTTTTACAAAAAGATTATTCCCATTTCTTTTTTGTATCTTCAACTCAAGTTCTCTGGATTTTAAACCAGCTATTATCAGATCAACACTAGGGACTGTTCTAGTATACTGCAATGCATTTTTCACTACTAAGTATTCATCAGGTAACGAATTTAATAAAATCATTGCAAGACTCGAATCCCCTAATTTCTGATCAGTTCCTTTTAACAATAGTGTCATTTTAAGAAATTCATCTAGGTTTTCTTCTAATGACCTAGAGACATCCATTTTGTAAGAAAACATAGCACCTTTCAAAAATGCTGAATTAGGAGCAGACTATAAAGCATATAAAGTTTCGAGTTTACCCAGAGCTCTATCGGTGTGTTCAGACCATCCACCTTTCGTAGTACACTATCTGATAAATTCATGATAATCAAATTGTATGCTTCTTCGTCTATCTCTGCTTTCTATTTCACCTTTTCCTCAGACCATTTGGTTGCATCTTTCTCTAGTGCTATTCCCACCTTATTGTGGGATAACAGGGCCTTCATCTTCTTCTTCCACGTATTAAAATCCATCTTCCCATCTTACTGGGATATTTCTACACGCGTGGTAGTGTTCATCATTTTGTCCAGCAACAAACCCTAATGTTCTATTCCTTTATCTTGACTAGCTTTCTTGGTTTGACCTTTTGAGACAAGAAACGACTTCTGATGTTCAAGATTCTCGCCTAAGGATTCAAGATTTATGACCCTATAGATCAAGAAATTCCCTAAATCAAAAACCCCCAATTTTGACAAAACCCTAATTTTGTGACTTTGCCCAATTGACTCGATTTCAAGAATTTCTAAACCCTAAAGTGAAGGCTCTGATACCACTGTTGTAAACTGATCCTAACTACTCAAATCAACACATCAATCAGAGATCAAATCAAGCAAGAACAAGAAATCACACAACACACAATCTACCGTGGTTCACTTGTTCAATATAGAACAAGTTACATCCACATTGAGCTCCAGAATATGGAGCTCGCTGCACTATGATTAATCACTTCCAAAAATACAGATTACAAACAACTCTCCCTCTCTGTCAACTACACAATCACACACTCATCCACTTCTCTTTATCCGACAAATCTCAACAACCACTAGAGTACCCTATACCCTTTAAGGAACACCCAGCCCTCAAAATAAGACTCTAGACAGATTCACATAGAGAAGAACCAGAATGAATATCAAACCTAACCTAGGTTACAATCGCATTTACAGAGAAAATGAGGAAAAACCTAATACGCGAACTGTTCCAAATGCGTGAAAAAGGTTCCCTTTTATACCATTGACCACTGATTGAGTTGGAGCCGTTGGATCCTCTTTAATTTTATGGCTGTGATTTAACTTGGACTAATAGGCAAAAGCGATAGCGTTTTTACTTGGCTTAAACGACGTCGCAGACTTCAATATTTAACAATATGTTATCGAAACTTAATGCCACATCAACAAAACAAACTGGAAACTTATTAAAAGTAATCAAGAAGTCCTTAAATAATTTTAGCAAAATTCCTTTCAATTCAGAACAATTGTTTGTTGAAGAAGTCCTTAAATTAATAACGTGGTTGATCCACTCTAAGTATATATCTAATGTTAATTGTCTATACATATATATCAAACATATAGAGAGAGATTGTTTATTCCTTTTGCCCTCATTTTAGGTGAAATTAATTAATAAACCATAAACTAACTATTGTATATATGTTAATTAATAAATAATAAAGAAGCAACCAATGATAGCAACACATTCAGACATGCATATGTAACATTATTGATATAATATTATGAAGTATTTGCAAAGTTTGATATATAAATTTACATGTCCAAAAAAATTAACAAATTAAAGAGTGAAACTAAAATTAATAATCAACTTAATAAATAAGAAGCACGTGATAATAAAAGAGTTTAATATATTGGCTACATAGAGATTGTATAAAATGGTATATATAATTGCACTCATGTTGATGATAAATAACATGCATTGACAATATCTGGATCGATACAGTTTCAGAAAAGTTTCAAACAAAAATAAGCAGATTCTGAGGTTAATTAATTAATCAATCATATTTACTTTTATGTTAGAAAATTTTCAACGTTGAAAATTTTGCAAATGAAAAATATTTTTGTTTTATAAATGTCCGTGAGAGAGAAGAGAAATATAGAAAGCAAACTGCTATATTATATCCATAAATAGAAACAGACATGGTGCTGGAGGTACATACATGAAAATATGCAACCTCAATTTATTACATGAAGCATTTCAGACAGTACACGTATAAAAATCGGATAGGCTAATATTAATTATTCAAATTAACTTCAATTGTTTCACTGCATTGGGAAAGCTATTTCAAATTGGCAACCTAGAACTTTTTCTGAAGATCTTTCACCACGTTCACGTCCAACATGAAGGCCTTAGCCAGAAAATTTGGTTCAATGGGAGGATTTGATCCAAATACCGCGTTGGCAATAGTAATGACACCAGGGTTCTGGCTGCTCAAACCAGCAAAGGCAAGAGCATTTGTTTTTCCGATATTGAATTGGAAATGAATGAGACCAATGGGAAACACAAAAATGTCACCCTTGTTAAGAACTTTGCTGATAAGTGTGCTATTTGGATTGGAAGTGACGAAACCAACAAGTAGAGTACCCTCTAGGACAACAAGAATCTCAGTGGCACGAGGGTGAGTGTGAGGTGCGTTTTGGCCATAAGGTGCATAGTCAATACGGACTGCTGAAATGCCAAGAGTGTTAAATCCTGGAATTTGATCTACATTTACAGTGGTGACATTTGAACCAACTGCATTGTTTGTGTCTCCAGGCTTTATAACTGAAAAGGAGAAATCCTCTGCTTTGGCGAGCTTGGGGTCCTTGCAAAACTTCCCATTCACAAACACTGCATCGAACAATCAAATTAATTAATGTTGGTTGTAAGTTATACCAATGAGCATTCATGAAAACAAAAGTAAAATTTTGAAAGAATCTTAAAGGAATGTATAGAAAGAGCTAGCATTGAGTGCATACCACCGCTCAAGGGATCATCGACGGCAACACAGAAGTCCTGAAGTGGACTGGGGTCAAAAGCAGAGGCAAATGAAGAAGCCAAAGCTAAGAAAACAAAAGCTTGAAGGAAACCTTTCATTTTGATGATTGGACTCTATCTTTCTCTATATTCTTCAAATATTATTGCTTGGTGGGGGATGAGAAATGCTGCATGGGAATCTACTCTAATTATAGATGAAATCCGGTTGAACGGGTCTTCGATTGTTTCCCTACTTGTGAAGACTTGCCGAGTATTTATTGGTTAGTGATTCTAATGTCTACTTCTTGAGTCATTCTTTAACAACATAATCATATAAGAACATTTGTGTGACCGTAGACAAGAGTTACTTTGGGGCAGTGTAGAAGGGTGGAAATGTAATGTTTTCATCATTTTAGGGATTGAATGGGTGTTTTGAAATTTTAGACATTTAAATAACTAGTTTAATTAATTTATGGGTATGAATGGAAAATATGGAACATGGTTTTTTTGTAAATTTATGTAAAAAAATTATAATGAATTTGAGCAGTTTCGGCTTTTTTGGGACCCTTTGGACCGATTTGGATAAAAAATTATAAACTTTTTTAGAACCAATGATATTTTTGTAAATCTATTTAAAAAAAAAATCTTAAAATAATTTTTGGTCAATTTTTGGGGCATTTTTTGGGGGGGCCCAACCCCTTGGGCCGGCCCTGAACCTAATACAATTATTAAATGAGTGGGTTAATTAAAGTAATAACTTTTTCTTCGTTTTGCATAAATCAGAAACATTTTTTAATGTTTGGAACTGGTCCTCTTTGAAAAATCATATCTCACTTCACTTGGCTGCTAATCCTATTCTTATTTTCTTAAAATTTTATTGACTGAATTTCACCAAATACATGATCTAGAAATAGTGACTGAAGTTTACATTACAGTACGTTTTATTTCATTTGTCGACAGAAATTCTAGACACTTCATTGTGTCTATTTGTTGGTTATTTAACATCTGCTGAGACATATCTATTCTTATTTTCTGATTGGTATTAAAAAAAAAAAAAAATGGAAAATGCTAAGAGATTGATATTCACAAACACATATATAATGTTATTCAATTAGATATTTTTTTAAATGAAAAACTATCGGATGTAAGAGATAAACATATCTGCACTTTTTTCAGGATAGATTGGAGATTCATCTACCCTTCATTTCATCCTGATAATTATTAACTATATCATTTTTTTTTTAAATAATTAACCACTACTGGGTAGCTTAGTGGCAAAAAGACAAAAAGGTCCACCATAAGTTCTTGAGTTCAAGTCCTCACAGACACTAATAGGGGTGGTAATTGAGAATATTTATCTGATTGTTCACTTTAGGGTCTCGAGAATTAGTTGAGATATGCGCAAGGGGGTATTCGGGTCCCCAAAAAAAATTAAAATATTTAAACTTTCACTTTTCTTTCGGCACACAACTTTTCGTTACTTTCATGGATCAAGATACTCTCCTAACCTAGCCTGAGGTTTTTTATCATCATTAACATACTGCTGAGGTCATGCTTAATCCCTAATGTGCATAATGTACAAGTAATTATGTTTAATATTTGTTAATTATCTCTGGTAGGATAGATTTAGTGCCTTGAATAAAAGACTGTTAGTTTGACCTAATCAAAGGATCGATTCAAAATCTTATTCCCCAAATATTGCTTGGGACATTATTTGAGAGATATTAGTGTATTTTTTCATTATTTTTAGACCCCTTAAGTTTATTAATTTCATTAAATACCCCCAGAAAAAAGTTTAAAAATTAGGAAAAACACCCCCACCCACCCATACTTACCAGATTCCGGGAACCACTATCGGTGGTAGCCGGAATTTACAACAACGGCTTACACCACGACCGGAAATGGCTGGTTATTCACCGATCTGGCCTTTTCCGGCCAGATCCACAGTGGATATGGCTGAAAAAGGTCAGATCGGTGAATAACCAGCCATTTTCGGTCGTGGTGTAAGCCGTTGGTGGATCTGGCCGGAAAAGGCCAAAGAAATGGTCGTCGTTGACGGTCAAAGCTGACGGCCAAAGATGGACCTTTGCGGCAATCGACAGTCGTATCTAGCCGTAGATCTGGCCAGAAAATGTCATATCGACGCGTTACGACACAGATCCGACCGGTCTGTGTCATAACACAATTTTCGGTCAGATTTTGGCGGTGGTAGCCGGAATCTGGCACTGCGGGTGGTGGGGGTGTTTTTGTCATTTTACACAATTTTTATATATTGGGGTGTTTAATAAAATTAGCAAACCTAGGGGGTTTTTTAGAAATTTTTAAATTTTACCTCGTGATACTCCCCTATTCAACTACCTAATATTATTCTCAAAATCCTATCCAAAATAATAAACCAAACGCACCCATGATTTTTCAAATCTCATAAAACTTTGATATTGGTGGCTTTCAGGGTTTATTTTATGTGCCTGCCTTTTAATTTCCATACCTAACCCATTTTTCAAATCTTTGTATCTACTAATAATTACCTCGAAAAAAATTTCTTCTCTTTCTCAGTTTGTAGTCTGTTGGATTGTAATTCAAGCGATCTATTTGAGGTGAGCATCCACACTTCAGAGTGAATTGTAGTGGGTGGTAACGAACGAACCCTTAATTTTTTACCTCTTTGCCATGCCCAACTCCTCACCCTTAATTTTTTACCTCTTTGCCATGCCCAACTCCTCACCCTGACCTCAAATTATATACCAATATTAATCATGCTTGAACAAAACTTATAAAAAAATAATAGCCGTCAAGCAGGAAAACCTTGGAAAATATTCATAAATGGGAACGTTTGTCCATAGAGAGATATGCATATCTCAAAAATTGACATTAACATAAACATAATACCTTTAATTAAAATATAGTTGTAATAGCCACTACTACTCAAATACTCATAATGAAATACATATAAAATAATATAAAGAAATTGGGCCCAAAATTTTTCTTTTTATTAAATATATATATATATATTCTTTACAAACATATACATTTTTACACAAACTTATAATGTGTACAAAAGATATTAAAACATGGTGAACAATGTAACCGCTTCCCCTCGCGTGTCGACGTCCATCCGACTGTGTCCTCACCTGGATCCTGCAAAACATAGGAAAACAACGGGGTGAGCACTAAAATAATGCTCAGTAAGTAAATCCTCTACTCATCTATCCCCGTAACTCTCTCTCTCTAATTCTTTCCTTACAACTTCTCATTCAATTTCTCTTTGGTACTTCTCTCTATTTCTCTTTCTCTTAGAACTCTTTTCTATTACCTCTCTTTAGTAAGTCACGACCCCATCTTACCGGGGGCAAGGCCGGGACTCGCGCCCACTCTACGTGACCTCTACTCATTCTAGCCGATCGGACTCGGTTATGCATGGATTCGGAACCCTTGGCCATGTGAGTATATAATCTCTCTCTCGGGTACTCGGGTATAGCCCTCATCCGCATGCCCTCTCACGGGCTACACCACTTCTCTATCTGATACTCATGCCGCTCTCTCAATGCGGCATACATGCGGGAATACTCTACCCATTATTCACGGGTTCCCCATCGCACAACCTACTCTATTCTCTTTCTCTTAACTCTTAAAGAACTTATACTCACATTCTTTACTAAATCTCAAGCTACTTCTCAAGTGTATAAACAAAGGTGTAGAGCTAGCTCATGCTCCCTAATGCGCTAATGAAATGCCAACTACAAGATTTTCTCAAAACAGTCATTCTGCATAGGTCACACTAAAAAGACCATAACTTGCGTTATACACCTCGGATTGCTACATTTTTGGTCTCGTTTCAAAGCTTTGAAACAGGGCTATAACTTCTATGTTTTGGTCTCAGCCCAGTTCAATTCTTAAGATTCCCAAAATTCACTTAGAAAGTCACGGCAGTGACAGGATAGATTTCACTTAGGCATTTCATCAAACATAATGCATGCATACTTTACATTCTAATTTTGATACCTCTTTACTTCTTTCTTTAACCATCCATTAATGGAGCAAAACTACTCCACAATAATCTAAACATGGCCAAAGAAACACTTCAAATATTCTACTTAAATTCTTTCTAATGTAACCAACTTCACTTGGTTACCACAACTTCATTTCTACTTCTCATGGTTCAAATCTTCTCATCAAAAGCCATCAACTCATCAATAATATCATTCTCAACAATCATCTCAAGTTCATAAACTAAGCATACATATGCATTTGATTGCGTGAACCCTAACTTGGGTTGGATTTACTTACCTTGTCAAAGATGACTTCTTTAGCACTTTTCCTTTCCTTTGTGTCTTGCCTCCTCTCTACAACTCAAAACCACAAAAAGAACAAACCAACCAATAAGACTTCACTATAATTATAAGAAAACTCACATCTAAAGCATGAATCCTACCTTAGGATGCTTTAGATGAAATCTCTACTCAAAACCCCTCTTAATTCCCTTAGAATCTTGGAAGATTGGTGGAGAAAATGAGAGAACTTAGGCAAATGGAAGAGGCGATGGAATGATGGACTAAAGGGTTTCTCTACACTAACCCTTTTTAGCTCATATTATAAGCATCATTTCCCATTTTGCCCTTGCCCTTCCTTAGAAATTCCATCTATATCCTTTGATTCTTTACAAAGACACCCCATCCAAACACAATCTCTACTAAATTTCCTTTCAATTTTACTCCCCACTTTTCCTACTAATTAGGGGTAGAATGGTCATTGTGCCCCAAAAGAAGAATTCTCTAGAAAACTCAAGAAACTTTGTATTAGGCTCGTCGCCGCGGCGAAGAACTTTCCGTCGCTCCGGCGAAACAGGGCAGAACCTACCCGTGGTGCGCAGCTCCTCCTCGCCGGCGAAGATTCTTCTTCACCCCGGCGAAGATTGGATTTCCAACTTCACCAAAATTCAACCAATCAAGGCAACCATTCAACCAACTCACATACAAACTCAGTTGAAACTGAAACAGTAAACTTTTAACTATACAGCAAATCTTAAATACGTACCTCAAGTGGGCTATTACAATAGTTTAGTGGAAATTATTCTGTTAAAGTATTCCTTCATTGAAAGAATGACAAAGTTGTTAGAGGTT